GCCTATTCAACAGGACCTGCCTGATGCAGTCAGCGGTGCTGGGAAAGAGGGTAGCGTGGGGTGCTCTTTCGCACGTCCATCCCAAAATGTACTTCCAGGACCTTTTCTAGCAAGGTGGGGACCTGCAGAGCAGGAGCCTCTGGCTCTCTAATCTGGATTTTTTACATGATCATTGCAGTAAGAAGTTCCTAGACAAAGCCCTGCCTGCTGCTGCCCATCTGCCATCTCAGAGAAACCCCACAGGGTGACAACCGGGAACACCAGTGAACAGCCCCGGTGGGAATGCTCCTGCAGCTCGTCCAGGGCACGACTGTCCTGGCCACATCCCATGGGCACCGTTGAGCCTGGCTCCCTTCCAGTGCGCTCCTGCTCTGTGTACCTGAATGTACTCCTGAACCTGCTGGTGCCTCTGCTTCGCGGTGGAGAGCTCGGCATCAGAGAAGGCCTCCCTGAGGCTCTGCTGAGAGAGGAGCGACTCCAGCTCCAGGAGGGCGGACACCTGGCAGTACTGGGTGATGAACTCCCGGTCGTACGTGAAGAAGTGGACTGGGAAGGGAATGAAAAATATATCAGGTCCCTTGCTATGGATGCCCTACGGACTCCTCCACACTCACCCAACACAGGGAAGAGGCAACACTCTAGCCCACCCGGAAAGCCCTCAGCATTCCCCTCCATCCCTCCTCTCCTGGGGGAGGTAAGGGAGCTCCAGCCCACCTCAGTGCCCATCCCAGCTCTTGGGAGGTTTCAGAGGACAAGGAGACCAGCAAGGTTGGGTTTTGGCATTCTCTCTCCTCACCTAGTTCGAAGATCTGCAGCGGCAGTGTGAGGAAGCCAGAGCAAGGGGTGTAGGGGTTGTTCTGGCCCGGAGCAGTGCAGACGTCGTCTGACGGAGGCAGCAGCAGCAGGAAGGAGACCTGGCCCCCAAAGTCCAGCACCTCTTGGCTGTACAGACGGAAATCTTTGGCCTGCGAGAAGATACTGCAGGTAACAGCTGCTAACATCACCTGGTGAGGCCTCCACTGAGTCCTCATCCGCAGAGGAGTCCTCAGGGACCACCCGCAGCCAGGGGACACTGCTGTTTCAGCACACAGCCAGAGGCTCATCGCAGATTCTGGCATAATCTGCGCACCCCTCTTTCTCTCTTACTTCTCCTAAAAGTCTCTAAACTACCGGTCAAACTCATTACAACAGGGTCTCAGAGAAGACGTGCACCAGCCATGGTCTTAGCCCTGCTCTGAGAGGTGCCCTCACAGCTGCCCGGCCAGAAGCACACGCCTGGCACTGGGACTGGTGGACACCTTCCCAGCATGGTGGAGGAGGGATTTCTCCCCATGCAGTCTGGCCCAGGAGGCTGCAGTTCCATCCCATGGCTGGCCAGTGACCATCCTGCTTTGGAGGGGCAGAGCTGGGCTGGTCTCGTGCTGCAGGGGCTTAGCCCAGGACAAAACCACATGGCAGGCAAACCCAGAGTCACCGACCTTGCTTTGGAGGTACATGTGAGGGTAAGACAAACAGCTCCCATGGACACTGTCCCTGGGTAGGCTTGTTGTCCACCACTTGCCTTCTATTTGCACGGGACTAAAATCTGATCCATGCTTCAGAGGGACCAGGGGCTGCGGTACCCTGCCTGCTGCGGTGATGTCCCGGTTCTGGCTGGGACAGAGTTAACTTTCTTCCCAGTAGGTTGGGGGGTGTGCTGTGTTTTGGTATGAAAGGAGCGTTGATGGCCCATTGATGCTTTGGCTGTCGGGGGTTGGTGCTTGCACCGGGGGGAGCACAGCCGGGGTGGTGGACCCAGCTGGTCAATGGGGTATTCTATACCATGTGACATCATGCTCAGTATAAAAACCGGGTGTGTGGGGGGGCTCGCCCCCCGTTCGTGACACGCGGTCGGTGAGCAGTTGCATTGTGCATCGCCTACTTTGTATATTCTGTTATTGTTGTTGTCCTCACTGTTACTATTACTGTTCTATTTTGTTTTATTTCAATTATTAAACTGTTTTATCTCAACCC